GCTCATTTTAGCATAAACATACATGGGAACTTCTTTTCATTCAGGATGGAGCTCTTGATCTTAAGTAAATTAACAAAAACCTTTCCAAAAGTCTGAGGCCCAGGTCTGTATGAAAGTTGCTCTGGTGACTGCCTGTGAGAGTTAGCTAAGGGCACACACAAATGAATGTTTGGTGCCTAACAAGCCATTTGCCCAGGTTACTACCCAGTTTGCATGCCTGACTGCTCTAATTACTTGCACAGGCAGGATGTCTCAGACCCTTCATTTTTAACCCTTAGTTTGCACACTATTTTCCCTCTTAAAGGGATTTGCTTTGTTGGCAATTACACAAGATCAAGCTGGAGTTATCAGCTCCAACACACTTTACTCCTTCTAGATATTTCACTCTACAGAGTGAAGTTTTGCCCTTTCTGAAAATTAAAACTGAGTTAGTCCTGACTTCAGACACTAGCACCACTGCAAAAAGCATATAAAGGTCAATATTATTTTACATGGCTGACAATCTCATGGTCCTTAGAATGACAATAGAATGTTCTCATTCCAGTTAATTATTCAAAGGGAGTAGCAGAGCAAGTTCAGTACAACGAAAGCTCTTCCTGCAAAACAGAAGCCAGACTGCAAAATATATGAAAGGATTTTAGCAAGAAGACAGACCACTTAACTTATCAATGTTTCACTACACTTCTAATGCAACTGATCGAGATTCTTTGTATTTGCAATCACCTAAGGCTTTTAACTGTGCCTACTGTAGTAAAAGCTCTGTGTTCTCCCACTACCAATTCTCCTCCCCTTCTCTACCACTAGCCTTCCCCTCCCCACCCATCCAAACTATAGAGAACAGTCCTTGTCAGTTCCTAATCACTGCTACATCAGAAAAAAGTTTCCCATGTAGGAGCACAGATGGAACTGTGCTTCTACACTACATCATTCTCTTCTGCTAATCAGAGGGGCTTGGAGACAAAGTATTGGTGAGAAGAGAGTAAATGCATTACTGGCATCTAGACCACTCACTGAAAGGATGTGGTAAGTAAACATTTCCTCCCATAGAATAAAAAAAAAAATCACTATAAAAGAGTAGAGTCTTCCTTCAAGGTACTTATAAGGCTCCCGCAATCTTTAATATATTTATGCTCCCTGCCCTTTCTGAGGGAGGGAAGTACTATTTATACACATTTTACCAACGGGGAACAAAGCTACAGAGAGGCTAAGTGATGTGCCCAAGGTCACACAGGAAGTCCATAGTGAAAAAGGGTCTTGAGTCCAAGTCTTTGAGTCCTAGGCTAGTGCCCTAGCCCACAGGACTATCCTCCCTCCTCCATCTGAAAGGCACTGGGTTCCCACACTGATGGTCACAGTATAAATAAAGACTAGGTATGAAAGAAAGCAAAGTTACAAGTCCCAGCTATTCCCATCTTGGCTACAGACTATGCAATGCCTTTAATTTAGTTAATTCTGAAGAAAAAGGTTTCCTTGCTGTCTGCATCATGAAAAGCAATAATATGTAAGACACCTACAAAACTGAAACTGCCAACAGCACTAAGTGTATAAGCACACTCCTTCCACCCTTGGGAAATAGCCTTCATGTAAGGAATGACAGGAACAGGGAACCCCCTTACTTTCTTTTATTCATACCACAGAGGAGAAGTGAGGGGCGAGAAAAGCAGGGGGAGTCCCCCCAAATTAAAAGTGGCAAAAAGAACCTGCTGGGGTGGCATCCTTCTCCCTCTGTTGCAGTTAGGGTTTGGGGGAAGGGAAAAGAGGAGGCAAAGCGTTATACATGCCATGATCACCTAAACTGCAGGGAGATTTCCCAAAATAAATCTGTAAGCTAGCGCTGGCTCATCAAGCCACACGTCCCTCTACCTGCCTGTCAAGGTGGCGGGAAAGTAGGGTAAGTGGACACAACCAGTAACTGTATGGCTCTTGAGGGAGCCATGCTACCAAGGGGGAGTACAGGTAGAATCTATCAAATAGACCAATCATCGCCCTAGATCCATCCTAATCCTATGTAATGCCTCAAACCCCTCCCCTCTCGAGAAAAGCATGCAGAGGAAACTGCAAGGTGAGCATCCATTTCCCCTTTTCATTGGTTTCCCCCTGGAATGGGTCAAGCAGTTCATTATCAGCTGGCATTTGATCCAAAATTCAGAATGTTGTTGAAAACAAGCTTTTGCAAAACTGAAAGCCAATAGAGAAAAAGAATCTCTCCTTATTAAAAACCCACAACATTCCTCTGGACTGTTTGCAATCCAAAACACTGCATGACTGCTAGCATATGCGGTCTTGAAAGTAAGGCTGATGAGAAACTGACTAGCTTATTTTAATGCTCTAAGCTGAAAGAAATGCAGCAAACAAACAGTCTAAGTAGTGAAAAGTTAGATTCAAAGTGAATTTTTGAAATCTAAGTAATCAGCAACACCAGTAATTAGTTTTAAAATTAAACTAAGTAATATCCACTATGATGAGAGTAAATTCTGCCACAAAATGGAAGAAGCTCCTTCATAGAGAATATCATAGAATATCAGGATTGGAAGGGACCTCAGGAGGTCATCTAGTCAAACCCCCTGCTCAAAGCAGGACCAATCCCCAGACAGATTTATACCTCAGTTTCCTAAATGACCCCCTCAAGGATTGAACTCACAAGCCTGGGTTTAGCAGGCCAATGCTCAAACCACTGAGCTATCCCTCCCCCCAAAGGGAAACTGGAAACTAGATGGAACAAGCTAATAGAAAATATATTGTAGGGATCAATCCTGCACTGACAAGATAACTTAAGAGGCCTTTTCTCTCACTTATAGGAGTCTGTGCTTCGTAAAGAAATCTAGGGCTCAGAAAGATGCATTAGTTCACAACATACATCTTGCAATGCTTCCAATGCAGTAGGTAACAGCCTTCAACTCCCACAAAAAGAGGTGTTCTGATAAAAATTTGATTGCCTGGCAAAGAAAGAAAAACCTCAAGTATTGCACAGCATCTATCACTGGTGCCAATAAACCACTTTCAAACATTTTAAAATGAACACCTTCTTGCAGCCCCCTTATTAACTGCTTCTGCATATTTAACATCCCTGTGGGTGCTGAGGTGAATTCTTAGGTCAGATTTTAACATTAACATACTTATTATAAAGAGAAAGCGTCAAACAGCACTCCTCCAAAGGACTTAGGGGGCAGGAGGAGAATACTGCTTATATAGCTTTACACTGGAAGTAATACAAGAACCATATGCTTAGAAATGAACAAGTTCCTCTACCCCAGCATGTTACTGAGATTTACCCTCTCACATTACTTCCATATTTGTTATCTTAACACAGAACTTCACCTGGGCTATACACACAGCTGTATACACACCTAGGTGTTCTCGCCTTCTTCCATCCCTACCGAGAGAACCTCCCTGTTGCAAGGATGTTTTCTACAGCTGCCTAGCAAAACTTAGCATGAAAAGGTATTTTGTATTCTATTGAATATTTTCCCTTCTTGTATTCCTATGTTAAAATGTCTTGAAGGAATCCGCTTCAGTAAGCATTTTCTTTAAAAAAAAAGTTGCAAGTCTATTTTGAGAAGCAGATTATGGAAAGTATGCATCTTTCAAGGTTTATTTGGGCATGCAGATTGTGCTTCTACATGAGGGTTCATCACTAAAAATTCAGAACCTGGGATACTTTGTCAGTCCAGTACTGGTTCCTCTTACATAACTCCACTACTGTCCAACCCAGAGATTTCATCTCACCTGTATTAGTGTCAACATTGGATGCCATCACAGAACTGAACAGCAAGGCTGCTCTTCATCTATTATAATTACGGCATAGCTGCCTTGGGGTTAAATTTGCAGATCCTGATCTAGTTCTATACCTAGCGACTGCAAAGAGAACACCCCAAGACTAGACTATGGGTGGTGGTATCTGGGCAGGATAAGCAGAGCTTAAACATTAAGGTACTTTCCCCCAGTTTGTGCCTTAAATGGTTATCATACCACCATTGTATGTCATTTCCATTAGGAACCACTGTGCTATTAAAGGCACACAGTCAGCTTGCTTCCCCCCCCCCCCATTATTAATTTCTAAAGATATCAGAAAAAAAGCTACCACCCCCTTTAAACAGTTTACTCTGTAGTTAAAAAGATACACAAGGATATTTTTGCTCCTATGCTGCCTTGAATGATTTAAGAACAACATCGAACATGCCCATGCCAATCCCTCCCTGGACACACACCTGCTTGCTGCCTTTTCACTTGGTTTCCCTTTCAGTTTTCTGTTCTTGTTACTGGTAAGCACCCTTTTTGGGGTGGGGGTCAGGGCATGCACCATCAACAAATATGAAACTGACATTTCCCCATACCACTCCACCACTTTTAGCAACAGCAATCTTAAGGGTCCCTTGTAATAAAGTTCCGATAAGTGAGATTTTCAAAGTGCTGCTCCTTGCATTTTCATGGAATTCATTGGGCCATTTCAGTTACCATTTGGTCTCTCTTAAGACCGCTGCATTTTGCGCATCTTCCTCCTTTCAAATGTACTCTATAGCCCCTTTTCCTCCTCCGTCTCAGCTCAGAGCTCTCTATTCCTATGTACCTTTCCATTTGCACCAGTCTAGGGGGGGTGGGACAGTACTGTCCCACGACTCTTTCATACCTGGCAGTTTTGTAGATTAACACAAAGCAGCTAGTACAGTCACCCCCTGCCTACACCTCAAAGAATTGCAATTTACATCCAGTTTCACCCATGGCTACTTTAAGTGTTAATCTCGGATCTCAAACATTTTTGATGAGGTGAGTGGTTCCTCCACTAAAAAACTAAATAAATGGCCCTTTTGCTTAGAGGGGCTTTCTGAAGCAAAGCCCGGTCATCCATGCATCAAGAAGCTACTGCACAAAACACCTCGACCCCATAAATCTAAAAGTAGGAGTATTAAATGGTTTAGTCTGTGTTGTACTTTTGATCTTCAAATTCCACTTAACACTGAGGGGAGTGGTGGGCAAGAGAGAAAAGAGAGAACAATCCATACCTTATTTGTAGCAGTAGCACTGGATCCTGGCACCAGAGGCACATTCGTCACTTGCACTGATAAGTAGTTATTGTCTATGAGAGGCCAGGCACCTTCCACTTTGCATGTCTGAAAGTGATCCTTAAAAGTCCTAAGGTGAGGATCACCAAACAAACCACAAAAGAGGTAAGTAGGAGGGGTTTGCTCCCCTCCCCGAAGTTCTCTGGCTCCTATGCGGCCACTGTAATTACAGGGGTCGTGGGTAACTTCAGGGTTAGTAGAAGATGTTGGCCCATCCTTGGAGCAGTTTCTCTGACTCATGAGGTCGCTGATCCCTAGCACAGCAGAATGGTAAACTAGGTTTCCACGACAGACTTTGGAATTGCGATAGGTGCAGGCAGAATATGCCCGCAGGGCTTTGCAGAACTCCAAATCAAAGCCATCAAGAGCAGAGTTTAGATGCGAAGTTAATGACACAAAGTCTGTGGTGCACTTCTGGATTCGACATGGTGTTTGCAGCTGGCAGTCACCTAAGTACAAGAATAAAAGGGAGAGAGAGATATCAAACATTTTAGAGCACAATTTATTTTTTCCCCCCTGAACACTACAGACAGTAACCTGAAGGTTACTCAGCAGATAATTTCTCTCACTGGGAAATTTCCTGCCATATTGCTTAAAAGAAAACAGTTTAGAAAACTAAGTAGCACTATAGATTGCTTCTCCCAAAAGGCTGAAGTGACCCACAGAAGACTTAGTTTCCATGAAAACAATGGCAGGTAGTTGATTTAAAAACAACATTATATCCTGCCAAATACAAACCCAGTGTTTCGTCTCCATATTATATCAAGATGATATTGCAAACCCATGCTTAAATTAATCACTTAGTCCATAACTATATCTCCATCAGTCTTCTAATGTTTTTCATCACAAGTTAGTTAAAGGTTTTAATTTTTTGGTAAATCATATTCCTGAGACGAGAGGAGATTTTGCCATAAAGTTAAATGTACAGATTAAGCCTTCTACTGCAGGAAGTGACCCACATGGTGCAGAGATCACATTTACACCCTCTTCAAGAAGGGGAAAAATGCAGGCCATAAAACTCAATTTACTTTCATTCTTGGGCATTGCCACAGCTAGTGCTTCATCAGTCATTTTCTTTATACAAATGAAAAACCCTTTACACTATATTTTGAAACTACAGGTAAGGGTCTGTCAACTGTGGAAACCAAGCATTGCAATAGCACCTTATTACCTGGGATACGGAGGGCATGTATGGGGAGAGAAACAGAAGCAGATCATGAAATGCAGGTGGCAGACTTACATTTCAGTTCTTATAAATAACAGACTAGTTTCACACAGTGCCATGGTCACTTGGCTTCTGGAGAGGAAGTATAACTACAATCCTGGCAAGTAACTGCTTCCCCTAACCCTCTCTTTCCCTGCCCACTCAGCCCTTAATGTCATGCTTTCAAATATTCTAACAACCTTACTCTGCACACAACACTTACCACAGAACAACTCACGGGGGAGGGGAAAACAAGACAAAGAACTGCATGTAGTACTGAAGGAGGGATGAATGCAGACAGATTTCATTGCAATTAGAAGCAGAAGACCTGGTTCTGTATATAATATACACCATATTGTACTGCAGAAAACATCAAACCACATTTATTTGACGCAATAAACAAACATTCTTATAATACCTATTTTTAAAATTGCACTGAGTGGGGGACTTAATCAGCTATTCAATGCCAGGTGAAGAGGACTTGGACAAGAAAAGCAAATAGGTATTCCATCTGAATGCCTTGTGTCCACTAACTGGAAACCAACTTTCAAGAGAGACATCTTTGGTGCAACACTTACTGGGCTACACATACATCTATCTAAAAAAATGTTACATTAGGTGCTTTACTTTAGTAATCTACATACTATTTTATTTTTATATTCTGGTGTCATCTATAGCATACTAAAGTGCGGTGACCATAATCTCTGCTCTAAAGAATTTACAATCTAGGAAGAATCAACACACTATGATTTAGAAAAAACAAGTGAAAAGTGTCTGTTTATTCACCTAACATCCTGGAGGAGGGAAGGGTGTAAGGAAGGGGAAAAGTTAGATTAATACTTATTGATATCCTATAGGTTACCCAGTTTTTGGTAATCTTTTACTGAATACTGTGTTATGCATCTTGTTAAAAAACCAAGAGCTATAGGCTTATATCCAGTATTAGATACTCCTACCTACCACCAAATTTTAGCAGGAAGGTATAAGTGCTTTCAAGATGAAAATGCTTTTAATGAACACTCAAGGTTTCCATAAGCTAACATTCCTGTCTTGGGAAACTTAAGAAGAAACATCTGAAATATTATTCCACCTTCCTTACACCAAAAAATAAATTTCCTTCCCACTCTGGAGTGTGGAGCTGGATACATTTCCTATTAAAAAACTGACAATGTTAGTTTAAATACCCTACACTCCAGTTATATTAACCCTATAGTATTAAGAGTTTTAAACAGTTAAAATAAAAATAAAAGATATGTTTCTTCTAATTCAAACTAGAAAATACCTGAGTTGTCCCACTACTACCCATGCACTACTTTAAATCTACTCCAGGGAACAAGAGTTTTAAAAATCATATTTATACTGGAAAGGAGGCAAAGAACTGAAGACAACCATTATGGTTAAAGGAACTTAGTAATGTATAGTTTAGGACTTCACACAATAGCTAGCTGTCCAAGCACCAACAGCTTCCATTAAAAATATGTTCTGGCTATTTGTTTTTTTTTATGAGCTATAAAATTCAGCTGTGTATAAATTTGTTTGAAATTACAAAATCATAAAATATGAGCATAATTTCATAAATAACGAAAATATGTGCATGATCAGGGGAGTGGGGGAGAAAAGGCAAAAATACGATACCATTTTAAATAGCCTTTCCCCACCCATCGAACCTTCTTTATACCTATTCTCACTTTTTCCTTGTTTCCCTTGGCTTCAGAGTGAGCGGGGATTAGTGGTCTTCAAAATTCTGATTAAAAAGTGTTCTTAAACCACATACAGACACAAGGTGGTGGGGGAGAAAGCAAGCCCTATTTGTTACCTGATATTCAAAAGAGAGAGGGGAGAGAAAATGGGATTATTAGTTTCATCTCCTAACCTATAATGACCCTCCTTTATAATGACTAACTCTCGTACACCCAGAAATATCCAGTCTTCATGAATTTATAATGACAGTGCACACTTCGCCTGTTATTGGTGAACCTCGTCATAATGCCAAGACAATGCAGATTAAAAAAAGTATCAATATACACATTTTATACATTCTTATTGTTATAAGAACATGCATCACAGAAGTGTTATCAATGTAAGGTAAACTATAATGGTGATGAGGCAAGTGACATGGGAGCAGTAATAAAAGCATATGTCTGCCCAAACTACACTTGGCTAAGCACCGTGAAATATGCAGAAACCATTTCATTTGAAACGCACTGATCGGAGAGGATCATCATTGCCAGTAGGTACAGTAAGCAAGTGATTTTATTAAATCTGAAGGATGCTGTCCTGCAAACACTTGTGCATGTGAATAATTCAACTAAAATTATAGATATTTTGGAAGAATTACTAGATAAAGAGAACATTCTTTCACAGAAAAACTATCACTCTAGCAAATTTCTTGTTGAAAACGATATGGACTTTAATGAAGATGCTTTTTGGAATGTTACATTTTCCAACTTTTCTTAAGATAAGCAAGTAGTTCTTTTAACAAAATAGAACTAACTTCTCAGCTAAATTTCACCAGTCAATCACTGGTGGACTAGTAAATAGATGAATTTTATCACTGTCTTCTACATAGCCTCCAGTTATTTGACTGGGACTTTTGCTAAAATATTATTAGTAGAATATGGCTGGCTTTTCACTCTGCATCACCTAAGGGGCAGTTCAAATGAACATGGCATATAACTTTTGCCCATCACTCTAGCACAGAAATATTTAGGTACCTAAAAATAGGTAATATAATTTTATCACAAATAATGAGATACACAAGTGGTCAAAGACCAACTAAGATAGTTCTAGGAGACATTCCTGAAGAGATCTGATAAGAGTATACCTTGTTCTCTAAAATGGTTTAAAAAAATAATGCTGGAACAATTTAAAAGCCACCATACATGGCTTTCTTTCTAATTTTTTTTTCTGAATATTATCATTAAAGCAGCTTCTCCACATACACAGGGGGGAAAGATCAAGTTCTCTTCTACATATAAAATGTTTTTAGAATTCAATCTAAAGAAGAAGATTTCAAATACAGATTTCTGCTTCTTAAGGATTGTCACTCTAGGACTGATCTTTAATTTCTTTGTTTTGTTAACCCTAATACAGTAATAAAATAATTCTATGAATTCAATTCATTAATATGAGTGTGTATTTTAGGGAACAAAGACAGATTCAGTGACATTTACTTTTCTGAATCTCTTACACAATGTGCATTTTTCCATGACACCTTCTTGCAATGGGCTGCAGTTAGTCTCTTACCTATAATCAATGTATAGCTTTAAATCATATTTCTTCCCATTAACAACTAAAAATCTCATTTTTATATCTTAATCATCAATTTCACATTTAGGATATAATCCTGTTAAAAACTCATTTTAAACTTTACTCCACCTCCATCCTGAAGAACTTTACTTTTCCTCTTCCCTTACTCCACACATCAGAACATTTCTCAGCAGAGGAATGTAACTCCCCTAAGAAATATTTTAGAAGAAACATAAACCCTGAAGGAAGCTGTACATCACAAATGTGATGGATGGCGCACAGCTGATGGACATTAACCCTACAGACCCAAATAAACTAACCAGTCTGATCAAGTTTTACTAGAGAACGGCAAAACACCATGAAACTACCATCAGTATTAAGGGGCGATTTTAGAAACTTTAAAAAATCAATCTAGACCGGCAGAGAAAATTAAAGCCATTTCATTAAGAGCTTGTTTCCCCCTCCCACCATCCCCCAACTCCAGCTGCAGGGAACAGAAGAAAAGCACAAGGTTCCCTCTCTCCCCCCACGGAGGAGGCGGTGGTGGAAAGAGAAACCTGATCTCAGCCCTGACTTTCAGTAAACATCACCGCAGTGAGCAATAAAGCCCCGTGGGTCTAAAGCTCACACAACACCCCCTTCCCCAAACGGAGACAGCTCCCCTCCCCCTAACGATTACTAAGCAGGTTGGGGAGCGGGGGTTTCCCGAAGGTTTATGTCCTGGGGGGAAGCAGTCAGACTCCTCCACAAGCCGATCAAGCAGGGGCTTCGCTCCCCGTTTAAGGCTACTCCCGTCCCCCAAACAAAGAGACTCCCCACCCTAGCCCAGTAACGGCTGGTCCCGGGGGCACAGGTAAGGTGCCAGCCAGACAACGGGCCCCCGATCCGAACTCCGCCCCGGCCAGGAGCTCTGGCGAGGCACGGGGCGTGCCCGGCTGCCAGCCCGGCCAGGCGGGGAGGGAGCGTTGCTGCCCAGGGAAAGCAGCGGCGGCGGTACCTGTGCGCAGCAGCAACCCGACGTTGAAGAGGAGAAACAGGGCGGCCGGCGGCGGCGGGTGCAGCCGGCGGCGGCGGCGTTGCTCAGCCCCGGCGGCGTAGGAAGGTGCTGCTCTCCCCATGCCCGTCCATGCAGGTCTGCGGGACTCCGGCGGCGGCGGGACGGGACTGCTGCATGAGCAGGCGAGCCGGCCTCCTCGCTTCCTCCTCTTCCTCCTTCAGCCCCACGGCGGGGAGAGGCCGTCAGCAGGCCGAGCGGGAGCGAGCGCAGCCGGGCAGCGCAGCATTGCGGGGAGAGACACAAACACAAAGAGTGAGGCTCGCCCCCCGGGCCGCGCGGAGCTCTCGGGCTCGGCCTGCGCCTCTCCCGCACGGCTCCCCCGGCCAGCCAATCAATCTCAGCTCCGCACTCGCCGACCCCGCCCTCCAGGCTCCCATTGGCTGGCCGAGCCCGTCCAACAAGCCCGACGCGAGCCTCATAGGAGCCCCGCACTTCCCTCCCACCCCACCTCCGCCAAGCTCCCTCCTCCCCGAAGGGAGCTGGGCGGACTGCGGAGGAGGCTGAGGTGATTTGCTGGCGGGTCCCCGCCCTGCTTTCTCCGCCTCCTGGGCTTATTGTTTTCGTGCTGTGGCTTCAAGAAGCACACGGCAGCCCCCGTGGGAGCGAAAAGTGCGAAGAGCGCTTTTTTTCTGCCTGTTTCCCGCTCGGGTGCTGGGATCTCTCGCCTTGCCTGGGTCGCTTTCTTGTAGTGAGGCACCTCCCTTCGCTTCTCAACTGTCTTTCTTCCCGATGAGAGACCTGGTCCCTTAGCCATTCTAGTGCTCTGCCCCCAAAACCCTTTCTTGCTGGGAGCCCTGCCTCGAAAAATGCTGCTTTCCAACGGATACAAATTCAGTCCAGTCTGTAAATGAGGAATTTCGCCGGCCCTGCTTTGTATCATCTAAGAAATGCCTTCCAAAATCATGTGATTCAGATGTATTGATCTTCGCAGCAGCTAATCACATCCCTGGGACCACTGCGCCAAGCATTCCGATTTGGAACGTTGGGTTTGCCAGCGTTCCTAATCGGAATGCAGGCGTAGCGGTGCCGGGGTTGTGATTGGCTGCGGAGGGTATCAATGGAGCCTTGGAGGACTCCGCCCGAGGGAATGACTTCACCTTCTTGCCCGTGGCTGTAGCTAGTTTCCGGTGACTTTCTATCCTTAAGTTAATATCGAAACACTTTATGGGCCTGAGGGGGACAAACATCTTGCATCCGCACGCTGTGGTTAAACAAGCAGGTCGAATTCGTGAACTTTGAGTTTACTCTAGACTGGGCGAATTTTAACATCTTGATTATTTTAGGAGAATTTAAGATTTTAGCGACATCGCTAAGAACTAAGTATAAGGAATCTCACAGTTGTAACGCTGCTAATTTGCGTGCAGTTGCTGTAGTCTGTAGGCGAACTGCTGACTGGCTCCTATGCGCTCAAGTAGGCCCCCTCATTATGTAGAGGAAACTCAGACAAGGAGACCGAAGAAGAGGAAATACACACAAACTACAGGGGGGAATTGTTGTGACTGATAGCGTCCAATTTTGTTATCGGTAGGGGTGTGAAGTGAAATCTAATCTTCATGAATTGCTTTACCACTTGAATCCACTTTCTCTTCCTCCCAAGAACTGCTCTGTGTTGAGGAGTTAGCATACCGAGCAAAATGGGAGTTTTGTAATTATTGTTCGTGCTTTTAATGATGATAATTATGATTTTAAAAACTGGCAGGTCTATCCAATAGGCCTCATATAATGAAGGATGTTTGCATAGGTGCTCGAACTAGGGGTTCTGCTGCATCCCCTGACTTGAAGTGGTTTCCACTATATACAGGGTTTTTAGTTTATTTCAGTAGCTCTCAGCACCCACATTATAAAAATTGTTCCAGCACCCCTGGGTGTTTGATTGAAGTTTGCAGTGATCAGCTCTACAGCAATTCCCTCACCTCCTTTTCTTTAAGTTGTACTGAAATTTGTTTGGCCACGGTGATACACTTCCCCCCCCCCCCCACTATCTCCACCCCAACAACAGGCATTAGGAAGCACGAAAAAAGAAAATTAACAAAAAAGTTGAGTCATTTCTTGGACTAATCAATTTCTCTCTCTCTCTCTCTCTATATATATATAAAGCTATGTCTGTACAAACTACCGTGTAAGTATAGTAACTTTTCCATGTCTATTTGCTATGAATTAGGAAGACTGCCATAGTTAACTTTTACCAAGCGAGCCGTATATATTAAACTAAATGTGTTTACAGTGTCCTTTCTCACGGCTATATCCTGTAGTTGTGCCCATGACAAAGATCTGATTACCCCGAAGGCACAATTCAAATCTTGCATTTTACATCCACATCTTCATCATAGTGGCACCAGTATTGCACATAGGAATGATTTGTTCTATACACAAGTCGGACATTAATCATTGCCTTTGGAGCAATCGTGATATCAGATGTTATATACAATTATGCTTTGCGATTTTCTTTTTAGTTAAAAAAAATCAACAAAACATGCGACTTAAGTGGACAAAAATCACCAATTTCGAAGATAGATCTTTCACTCCATCCTTAACTTCTCCCATTTGGTGACCCATTAAAGAAACATTGAAGGCTAGTTCTGCAGAGTTCTGCGCCAAGAAAACTCATGGTGACTTGGTTTTCTTGCTTGTGTTGACTTTAAGTTACCGTTTTAATGTAGGTTTTTTCTTAAGTTATTTATCGGGCTAAAACCAGATTCTGAAATCCCTGCTGAAGCAACATTCTCATTAAAGTCAGTGGGGGGCTTTGCCTATGAGGACTTCTGGTTTTGTTCCAATTCTTTCGCTGAGCTCGTATGGTCTGTTCAATGAGCGGCTCTTTGACAATAGAGGGCGCTCTTGAGTTACTCCAAATATTTGGGTCATGAAATGTAACTACGTTCATTGAAAGGAGAAATTACATTTTTGATCTGAGGTGCTTTATTGTTCAATTGTAAATTTTGTCAAGCCTGAGATTCAGATGCCTAGTATTTGCATGTTTAGTATTATAAAAATCTACAGTCCTCCAGCGGAAGATGATGTTACTTTTTACAGTTACACTGCGAGATAGTTCCCAGTCTGAAGTGTCAGGATATTAAATTAGCTGTGATATTGGCGTGGAAAGGTCATCGTTAGTGTGCGCTAGGCTTCAGAATGAAAGTTAATTACTAATTAATTTAAATCCACCCAAACTTTTTATTTTTATAAACAGTATCAGATTTATCTGCATGGATTTTTTAGGTTTACATTTACTAAGAAAGTACAGATCACCAAAACGAGGGTCCCAGCTGTGAGTTGAAAATGTAAAACAAGAAAATAAGTCCATATTTTTTAAAGGCTCGGAAGTTTCTTTCTCGCTTTCTTTTACCCCGAGGAAAAAAAGGATACAATAGCAAAACAAGCAGTGACCCAGCAAAAAAAGAGAAATTAAATGAACGTGTAACTGGGTAAAAGTCAACCACATGCAAGAAGCATTACTACATTTTAAACAAACTGTGGTTTATTTTCCAAAAGGGTATGTGTGATGCCTTAACTGTTCCCCTGTTGATATAATCTCCGTTTCCAGAAATACAACACGAATATCCTCTTGGTCTGCTTATTACATTGGTGTATGTGGAGGAAGAATAGCTGGGAATCAAACCTGGGGTTTCAATTTGCAAAACACGTCATTATATTCCCCACTATTTTTTCTTTGCCTGTGTAACTAAGGTAGAAGCATCAGCAATCAGTACTTAATAAATCGACTTCTAAATATTTTTGTACTTACATCATATTTAATTTTTAGGGTGTTGCGCGGATCGCTGGAGTCAACGCTGCATCCTGTTCTCCTAGAAGATGGGATACTTTGCAAATTAGGACCTGTATATTAGATAATTAAAAACGTTATGTCCATCTTCGGAAGGCCTAGGAAGCGTTCATTGCTTGGACCTAGACACTATATTGACGTGGTCCTGGACTTTGCAAATACTGACTAAGAAGCCTGAAAGTAGCAGGTGCAGAAAGCATTTGGAAACCGCCTGCCAGAACCGGGGAGGTAATGCTCTTCCTGCCCATTTATCTCAGGAAACCGGCACAAGCTTCCCTTCGAAACAAAATTAACCTCTCATTAGCCAGAAACTCTCAAGAAAGCTTTAAAACCTTTGCAATCTCTATCTAAGATGCTTAGGACTCCCCCGCCCCCCTTCCAGGCAATGCAATTACTGCCATCGGTTACACTTCGGTTTTCCTAACGCAGCCTGAGTTTGCATTTAGCTGCCATCAAACTGTCAATGCAAAAAAGGAAGCACACCAGCCACTTCTTCCTTCTTCAGGGCTCCTCTAGGGCTTCCTGAAATGAAGCCCAGCACTGTCTGGAATACAGAAATACTCTCTCACACACGTACTAGCTTTTGGATCCTTTGGAGCAAGTTCCTATCAATGCCCCCTGGACCCTGTGCCCTTTCTTCCTCTAAATGCTAATAACTGACCCTTCGTTGTTCTTGTTGTCAGCTAAAAAGTGAAAACTACGTAGACCAGTGCTGCAGACCTATATAGTATTCTTGAAACACTCCAGGGTTACATCAGTTGAAAACAATGTAGAGCAAGAGGTGTTTATTTTATCAGATGCAATTTGTAATTTGCAAACATGTAAGTGATTTCAGATGTCCGGCTGGATTGTTTAGCATGTTTTCCTTCCTTGCCACATATGGCTCCTTCGAAAACTAAAGACAGGTGGATTGACGACACACAAAACCCCGAGCTCCGACTCCAACAAAACAAAACAAACAACTCACCACAAACATCCCCGTGTCTTCATCCCTGACGCTTGCCAGCTGGAACAATAACAGCAAGAGCACACCGCGTCATTCAGCTCTTTCGCAGAGCGAGAGGGCAGGGACAACGGAGCAGCCCCTTTCCCCTTGGAAGGTGGGACTCATAATGACACCTCCGCGAGCGATCGGCTTCATCTGGGGCGCCAATGGACTCCCCCACCACCTCGGAGTGACTGTTTATCTGTCTCTCCCTTCCTGGCACCGGCACAAAGGGAGGGGATGTGCCTTTAATGACAGCGTGATCTTTCCGCTACCTATAGAAAACAAATGGGGGCGGAGGGGGAAGCGAGCGAGCACAATAATTCCCTTCTCCCTCCTGGGAAACTGCTCCCCCTCCAAGGGACACTGGAGCAGCAGCACAGTTTCTCCACCTCCTCAAGTCCGCAGACTCCTGCCAGTGGCTCCTGCAACCGCTGGAATGTACCTGCACATCTGGATGATCAGCTGGGCATCGCCGCGCCAGCCCTTCCCATTCGAGGCTTTGCACAAAGGAGCCTTTTACTGGCCTACGTAGCACTGCCTCAATGTACTCTGCCTGCCTTTTACAACCCCCTCACACTTGTTCACGACATAGTATCAGACTTCCTCAGCAAAAGCAGGCAGCGTGTTACAATATCAAAGCCCCCCGACCGAGCCTACAACAACCCCCTTATTTATTTAGGTATCCGCAGCCCTTTTATAACCTGAGCACGCAAAGCAGTTTCAACGGGTGTCGTCCCCCCCCAACCCCCCGGCCTCTGCCAGGTTTCTCCAGATGTTTTGCTGCCAGCGGACAATCTGTTTTCCTTCCCTCTCCTGATGGCGTTTTATTATTTACATTGTTGTCCAGTTCTTGGGCTAACATTGAATTTAAATAACAACAAAGAATCGGCACAGAACTTTTGGTTGAAAATCTGACTTAGCAAATAAGTGGCTACATTTAACAGGAGGAAAATTTCGCTTTATGCTCATTGTTTTGAATTCCCAAAATTATTGGGGTTGGGGCGGATTATAAACGCTACTGTGTAGTCTCAGGATCTAGTCCTGCAAGTCTCCTTCGGAGTCTAGACTCCTCTCTTTTTCAACCAGAATGTCGCTTTTTACGTGCCACAGAATGGGTCGGAGGAGGTGGATGTGGCTCTCTTGTTTTCTGGACTGTGCGTTGCTTGCAAACACTGAGCAGATGCACAACAAGATGCACCGATAAAGCTAACAGCTTTCCCCCCTTTTCCTGTGTGAATTCCCGGCCCCTCATTTGCTCAGCCTAGCGATTGAGGGACTGATTAAAATCCCATTGAAATCCATGGAAACTCCTAATGGATTTCGGTGGGCTTTGGATCAGGTCCTAAAACAGCTTGATAAGAAAGAGCAACCAACCCTAGCCTAGCCCTTTTCTCCCCTTAGTTAATTTCACTTTCTCTGTCTCCGTTTGCGAGGTGTCCTTGGATATAGGATCTCTTTGGAACTTCTCGGCTAGGGCAAGAGAAACAATAGGAACATGCTCTTCTCGTAAAGAACATTTCAAACAGCTCTGTTCCTAGCCCACAGGAACATGGGATTTTAATTTACCCACTTGCTTTGGCGTTTGAAAATCTACTGCAGCAATCAGGAGAGCAGTAGCTTTGATTAAAAATCCTAAAGGCAAATCTCGTGTGTTTTTCTTTTCCCCCTTCCACAAGCACAAAGAAGATTCGGCGCATGAAATAATGATGAGTGAGAGTTCAAAGCAATCCCAGAAAGCAGTTTTGAGAGGATATTTTCTAATGCAATCCCAGCCCTTAACTATTCTCTCTCTTTCGTGGGCTTTTGCCAGTGCAACACAACACAGATAATCGAGCAAGGCATGCTTCTTTTCTTCTCTCCAGAAACATTAGTCAATATGTCTTAGCAATCACCTTAGAAGTCAGGACTTAAATAAATACAATTAAATAAATACTTTTAAAATTTGGTCTAGAATAGATCCCTTTAGCTCATTGCCAACCCAACTTGGTTAGGGCAGCTGCCCCTCCTACAATTTTTGTCTGATTTACAGCACTTCTGACACCGACCTAGGTGAATTATTCACATGGGAGTTTCCTTAGGCTCTGGGGAACCAGAAAAGGCATACACCCCCCAATTACATTTGCACTGTTAATAAACAGGCACCTGAAATGTTCTGTACATTCACAGTGCTCTTTATTAGTCACAAATTGAAGTTTGCTGTTAACACTGTGATCCAACATTAAGGTAGTTAATATTTTACATGTATATCACAACTTCCATCCATGTGCTACTTTCCAAACACTAATTAAGCCTCACAACACCCATAGGAGTCAGACAAGTATATTTTCTCCTACACATTTTCATGTGGTAAAAGCACTGCAGCACCCACAGTATTGCAAAACACAAGACTGAAGAGAGATCATTAGATGCTGGAAAGCATAAGGTCCACATTCAGTAGGCCTTTCCACTCCCAGCTGACCTAGTAAACATTACCCATTTTATAGGTAGGAGCACTGAAGGAAGAATGGCATGTCCTTGTCAAAAATGGTTTGCTTTTTTGTTTGTTCTTTTAAAATTTTCTCCAAAATTTTCATGAAAATTTTGAAAATTTTCTGAATTTTTGACAAAAACAAAAATCAAAACAATACCAAAGGTTTTTTTTCCCAGTTTCTCAGAACTTGTTCTTTCCTCTTTTCTTATGCCCTCCTCCACCCTTTCCCTTTGACCAGGGGAAAAAGGGGAAAGGAGGACACGTGGAGAGGAAAGGGGAAACAATACTGAAAAATAGAACATGGGATTTTGGGGTTTTCATTGTTCTGATTAAAAAGTTAAAAATGTGGAAAAAAGTTTTCTGAAAAAGGCCACCTTTCACTTTAAAAACAGTTTCAGATGAAAAATTCCAACCAGCTCTTGTCTTGTCTCCCCACCCTCTGCCCTGATAGAAAAGACTATCTTCCCTTGCATACAACAGGAGACCCAGACATGCTCAAGCCTAGGTGTTGGCTACTCACATGGAAAGAATGTATTTTGCAAGAGCCCCAGGCCTGACCTATATTTAGGGAATTTGCACAGACCCCTCATGTTGATGTGCTGCACTGGTACAAAGCAAAGTTTAATCAGTGCAGCTTTCTTTGCCATGTTACCAGCGTAAACTGCACAACTGTAAACCCCAATTTGTGCCAGTGCCTCACATCTACTTAGGGGAAATGTGATGGGACAGTCTGGCCCTTAGGGGCAATAGTTCCTAGTGATCAGCCTAGCCAGCTATGTGGCATGGCCTCCTAAGGGTTTGAAAGGTCCCATATATCTACATAGATATAGATCAATATAACTGTAAGGACCTAAGGGCTATAGATAGAGAGGAAGCAGTCCTGCGAATGAGTACTGCTTGGAAGGAAATCCTGTTGCTATATCTTTAAGGGCCTGGGGCCAGTAGCATTACAGAGGGCCAGGATCCCCGCTCACACAACCAACTGGGAATGAACTTGGAGAAGAGGACCAGTATAAACCTTCCTTCCTTCCTCAGAGCTGGGTAGACCTAGAAGATAACAGCGGGGAAAGGCTGGCTTGCATGCTGAAGCCTGATGGCTAATAAAGGAAAAGGCTGACTGAGGGAGAACCTGGCATCAGGGCCGGCTCCAGGCACCAGCTGAGCAAGCTGGTGCTTGGGGCGGCAGACTGTTCTAGGCGGCATTCCGCCCAATCCTAGGGTGGCACGGCCGCTTTTTTTTGTTTTGTTCTTGTTCCGCTCTGGCCGCCCTGTAGGGGGTGGTGGCACAGAGAACCAGAGCGCCCTGCAGGGCAGTCCTCTTCCTTCCCTCCCCGCCGACCGGAGCGGAGCCCTGGCGGCAGGAGGCAGCGCAGCGGGAGGGGCCGCGTGGCAGCGCCTCTGATGTAGCCCTGGCCGCCCCCTTTTCTCTCTCTCTCCTGCCCGCTCCCTCCCCCTTCCCCCCCCCAGCTGGTCCCCCTGCACCCGCGCTCTGGATGCCCCGTTTTTTTTTTTTGCCTGGGGCAGCCAAAAAGCCAGAGCCGGCCCTGCTGGCATGGCAAAGACCCCTCAGCTGGATAACCCACAACTCAGCTCCAGAAAGGAGAACTGAGGGCTCCTACGTAAAAAGAACCAGAAACCCACTTTGAAGGGGATGACTCCTGGTTAAAAAGAGAGTGTGGGACAAACTAATATAGTCCCATTCCAAAGGCAAGAGCTGGAGATTCCTGGTTAAGGAAGGACTGAAAAGGAGTAACCCAGAGAAGGAACTGGAAAGGGTCCCAGAAGGAAAGACTCTTTCCAGGTGCAGAAAAGAAGAGTATCCTGAGACTGCTAGTTGGACTGAGCCTGAGATGATGAATATCCCTGGGTGTATCTGAGTAAGGTCCTACTTATGCTTATGATTGTTGTTAATGGGTGGCCTTTGATGGAAAAGTCTGTCTAGACTTGTTTATAACCTGAGTGAAGGGAAACTGAAGCAGGGCCGGGGTGACGTCCATGCCACCACCATAGACTACATCAGTTACACCAATGTAAATTTCCTTACTGTAGACAAGGCCTCACATACTGCAGTGAAAGGTAGAGTATAAATACCTAGCCTGATAGAAAACACTGTGTCCATATTTGGTTATGGAAATTGCTCTAAATAGAGCTGGTCTGTGTCTCATCTAAAACCAGATAATCAATATTTCAAGCAAGATAACCCATTCATAAAATGTTTTCACTTTTTTCCTGCCAGACTTCCAAGGATTTTATACAGAAAAAAATGCTTAATGGCTTTTTTTATATAACCTACTCTGTATTGTGACACATTAAGCTCCCTTTTGATATGCAGAAGAGCATTTGTGACTTCAAGAGGAAGGGCATTCACTATTAACTGACATGCTATCCATATTATATAGTGTTTTGTTATTACTCCATTTAGTTCATCTTCACAAGCAAATATGAATCATTACTACAGTAAGGGTGACACCTCTAATTACATATATACTCCCAATAAAATGCAATACATTTCTAAAATCTTTTACAAATATTGATTTTAGGAAAATACTATTTTTGTTTAAATTCAAAAGGAGGTGATGGAGGATGACAAAAGAAAGGAGGAGGATAGGCATCCTTCATCCACACACAGTTAGAGTTATCAACATAACCGCAGTTACTGCTTTACCTACACTGTAATTTACCAGACTACTGGTGTTCAATGATTTCAGTGGGAGCTGCTGTGAGCTCAGATTTTCAGAAACGGGTGGCTCTTAGGTAGTCAACATGCCATTTGTTTAGAGGCCTACCCATGGACTTAGAATCCATCCATTTCTGCAAATCTCTTCATTGGCGTTACTCCTGATGTATGCTGCTGTAAGTAACAGGAGAATCAGGCCCTAAACTTTCTGTTATGTCCTCTGAGCCTGATCTCATAATGATGTAAATCAGGAATTACTATAGTCAG